TATGCAATGTCTGTCCCAGACCCCTTGCTGGTTTAAGATAAGTCAGACATTCTAAGCATCCTCACATGCTCTCTGGCTCCTCCCCTCTGCTCCCTGGCTGGAGCTCCAGCAGAGACTGCAGATGCAGCAGGGTTTGCCTGGCTTCCCCCTGCCCTACCCCCCTACCATGGTTCACTGCTGAAGCAGGAAATGCCCCCCTCCTTCCCATCTCCCACAGCACAGACCCCAGGCATGTGGTATGCTAGCTAAAGCACATGTGTGCATGTCTTCAATTTCACTGAGACAAGCAGACAGAACAGTAACCGCTTAGGGCTGTTTGGAGCTAGTTAACAGGTCAGCTGGTAAGCTGTTTAAGAAGAGTTTGAAGTAATGGAGAGTGATTATTGTTTTGCTGATTGGGTGATAAACTTTGTTATCCACCCCCTGCTGGCTTGCTATCCTGCCAGTTTGCTGCAGACAGTATAAAGAAGCAGGGGAGGAGATTGAAAAGTTCCATATCATCTGGGAGCGCTCTGCCTCTTGAGCAGCAAGTGGGGAAAAACTTGGGATGGTGCAGGCAGACCTTCCTGATCAGAACATCCTGCCTGGACCTGGCTATACCTCCCCAGCTCAGCTCCCTGCAGAAGGGAAGGGAGGGCTGCTCTAGCACCCACCAGCTTCTAGCCTGAGCCACTGCAGGCATGTGTCTTAATTTCCTCAGTCCAGAGAAAATGTCTGTCTGGTTACAAATCGGTTCAGCCTAGCCAGTTTAGGCTAACCTGCAAAAATTGAATCAATTCAGGCTCAGAATGTCTGTCCCTAGTCCTGGTGTTTAACATGCTAGTGGCACAGAGGACATTTGTGCCTTTAGAAAGTTACATGAAATAAGCTGTTGTGTAATCACGTCTCAGCAGTGAAATGCATGTTCAAGGCCTCTGTTCTGTGTGATCCCTTCTAATGCTGTTCATCTAATTGGATGAAACAACATGGTCTTGTTGGATCTCAAGGAACAGTCCTGAAATACATTAGCTCTGTGGGTCACTTACTGAAGTATCTAGCTATGCTGGGACTATTACCTAGTAGAAGATATTTACTCAGTTACCCAGGAGGAAGATCCTATCTGTTGTTTATTCTTCAAAAGAGTCCTGGTCCATTTTTGCCATTGTCTCCATGCCACTGCATATAGCTACAAGTGATGAATAAAGATAGTGGTTTAACAACTAGCCTGATGTATCTTCTATCATGTTGCTTACATCTGTGGTTAGGCAAAAATCACTGGCTTTACTTAAGTATACCATGTTCTTCAGCAGGGATGAAGGTATTAAAACATCAGTAGAGAAATCATCCTGGGTAGGGAGCTAACTCCTACATAATCCTTCATAGGAAATAGTGTATTTGATACTGAAATAAGACCCATTTTCAAGACAGTGTCCCTTAAATTGTCATGGACGGTGTCTGACAATCATTTATTCATCTTGGTATATTCCAGCATCCTTGGCTATGGAAACGAAAAATTTGGTTTCCATGGAGAATACATGTCTGTAATACCGTGACATTTGAAGTCAATGAAATTGTGATCATATTGATTATCCGTGTCATTCTTGCTTCCCTTATTACATATATCTATAATTTATTCCTTTTACTTACTCTTCCTTGAGAGGCATTGTTAAGTGTGCCAAACTGTGTTTTTCTCCTCCTTAAACACTTTGCTGATGACCTGTACTATCACTAAACTCCACAGTATAGTCTAAGAGGACAATAGTGCATAAGTTGATTAACTTAATTGTATATAATGAACATAAGTAGCTTCCTACTTTGTAGTACTAAAGACTACATTAGTGCATGTCACTTCAGAAAATGTCTCTTAGGGGTAAGTGTACAACCTTGACCATTATATATTTTTTTTGAATCTCTTTAAAAGATTCTTACAGCTGCTTGAGTAAGTTGGCTGTTTTATTATTGTGGTATTCTGTGCAGCTATTGTCTGTGTTCTGCAGACACTCTTGTGGTTTCACTTTTACCTTAATGTGGTCTCTGTCTCTCTACATGATGCAGTACTCACTGAATCATATACCACTTGTTCTGTCTGTCTTCCATATATTCATAGTGTATGTGCATGCATGCACTTACACACGTCTCTATCTCTTCCTACTGTGTTTCAGTCCTGATTCACTGTCTGTAATGGAAGTTACAGTGGTCTTATAAATGATCTGCTTTGTGTCTATATGCATTTCTTCGTGATATCCTCCCATTTCTAACAGCTACCATAGTATTAGTGTGGATCACTGATAGTCTAATATGAGTCTTTGGAATACATATTTCTGCCATATCTGTATACCTATGCTAATTTAGGGCCCACTGTATTCTTATATTCTTTTCCTTGCCTATATTTAGTGGCACTTTTCTAGTCCCCATGTTTTTTCTCCGTGTCAACAAACTCAAATTCAGGTCTAAATGACTAATGTTGTTTTTATGTTTCATTAAAGCACTGTGAATATGAAGATATATCATAAAATACATAGGCCTTGTTTATCAGAAATTACTTCAGAGTTTTGTTCTTCAGTTTCTCGGTTCACTTCCTATCTGTCAGCCTATATCATAGGTCTTCCGCTCCTGTGTCTAGTAACTGAAGTCAAACAGTAACTTAGACCAATCAAAATTAGTTTAGTAAGAGCTCTTCAAAATATGGCTTCTGAAACTCAAAAAACGAATTGTATAAAAGTAATTCAGTACTTGTCACCTTATCCATTGGCAGCAGAACATTGTCAAGAAATGTAGGACTTTCCCTGAAGAAAATCTACTCCTTTCCTTCTAAATTGCTTAACAAATAAGTAATTACTTTTGCATCAGCAATGTTTTGATGAAAGAACACAACATCAGTGATTCTAGAAAGAAAAGTTACAAGGTAGACAAGCTTTTGCTTTCTTGTTCTCCACAAACAGTTTCAACAGGAAACAGTAGTTTTTTCCTAGTAAGGCAATTCAACATAACTTTGTGAAGATAAGAAAATGACTTAGGATTAACAACACACCACTTTCTGGAACACTTGTCTACCTTATATAGCTTCTGCAAAACAGTGAAGTCATATTTAGTGTGGTTTGAGAAAAGTAGAATAGAAGGCCAGGAAAAGGACTGTTTTGTCTCCATACAGGAAAAGTTATCTATCAGCTGTGTCACTGCTCCTCTCACTGAATGAGCTGTAAAGTTCTTGTACCTGATATTTTGTGTACCTTTCCCATCAATTGCCTTTATCTTTCTGATGGCCCATTTAGCATACTTATGCCATTCTTTTATAAAATAGTATTTGAAGTGGCTTGTCCTGGAAAGAAAATTCACAGGTAAGACCAGTTCTTTTGCTTTCACTAGCAACCAACTGAGGGTGCATTTTCTCAGGCTAAAAAAAGATATCCTAGAACACTTAAGTGTCTACTTACCAGAGAAGGATCATATCTGCAAGTATTTGTACTTACTATATGCTATATTTTGGGTTTATTTAGGGAAAAAATATGTTATATCAAGGAGAAATTGCCAAATTCTGAAAATCAGAACCATTATGTAATAGAAGAACATAAATTACTTTTAACAAAGGCAGAATTTTTTGAAATGTTCATATTCTCAGCTGTTGGCATCTCTCAGCAGCAGAAAACACTCAGCATCTTTGCTCTTTATTCCTAAAACAACAGCCAGCATATTCTGACATATTAAACCTTCTTTTTTCCACACATTCAGTAAGGATGTGGAGAGAACTTTTTTGTTACTGCTCTTGCCACCTCCCACAGATGCTGTCAAGTGAGAAGATGAAAACCTAGAAAGGCAAATAATTATAATACTAAAAAATGCCATTACTGATAGTGCTAAAACCACCTAAGCAACATTTGCAGTTGAAATAACATTGGAAAAGGCAACAACAACAATCCATAGTCAATTTTATGTTTAAAAAAATCCCAAATAATTAAAAGAACTCACCCAGTACATTCATTTCAGTGAAAGAGGAGATCTGCATGTAATCAACTTGTGTTATATGAATAAAACTCTGGGTGAAGGGCCTTTACATTCAAATTTCTAGCATGATTGAAAACTCCATTAATTTCTTTTGGAGAAAAAGATATATGCTTTGAATATTTCACATTAAAAGCAGCATTGTATTTATTTATTTATTTTTTAAGGGTCTGATTCTGCTCACCATTCCTTGGGCAAAATGCCCAATGGCATTGTCTATTCATTTGTACTGTCGAAGTGCCTAAGGGCTCCTATACACGTGTGGAGTCTGTTCCAATGCACTGGAAATCCTGTGCATCGGAGCAGACTCAACTGAGTCTGCTGGAGCATGGAAATTGATGTGCTCTGTCAGCCTTTTGCATCACATGTATCGGTGTCCCTGTGCATCTCCATGTTGAAAAAATGGTGACAGGGCACTGTAAATAAAACATATTCAATGAGCTTTAGTTCAAAGTGGCCTGCCACCATTTTTTCAGCATGGGGATGCTGATAAGTGATGCGCAGGTGCTTTTAATTAGCATGGCTCGTTAATTAAAGCACCTGTCATTGCATCCTGCAGCAAATGCCCAGAGAGCCTCAGTCAGAGATCAGGACCCCTTTGTGCTAGTTGCTTTACTAACAGGACAAGCAGAGAAGATCATCCTTTTTCTAACCTTTTGTAATTTATTCACTATTTGTCCCTGAGTTTCATAGCTGGCTTGTCTGAATGTGTTTCTATTAAACTAATTATTTGATGGGAAATGAACAAAATCTTAAGCCATTCCATTAACTGTGGATATTTGTGAATTTTTTTTTAAAATTCAATGTTAGCATCTTTCTAAAAAACTTAACTTCCTCTACAAAATCTGTACTTTATACGTGTGTCATTACCCAAGTTCTCGTTTCCTTTTTTATTGGTTTTAATTTTTAAATAGTCATTATAGTACATTTTATCTTCTGGTAAAATTTTATTTTTTGAAAAAAGTTTTATTTCGGCATAGTCTCCAACACTGTGGTGATTTTTAATCCTTTACCCCGTGTAGGATGTGAAGAATCGACGGAACCCCCGCCTTGTCCCGTATGCTCTTTTGGATGATCGTACCAAGAAATCAAACAAAGATAGCCTCCGGGAGGCAGTACGCACCCTTCTTGGGTATGGTTACAACCTTGAAGCCCCTGATCAAGATCACGGTACATAATTCTATTCTCTTTCCTCCCAAGAAGCAATGTAGATTTCAATAGATTTTTATAATGGCGCAGGCAGTAGGCTTGTTAGGTTGATTGGTCCAGTAAAATGTTATCCAGATAAGAACATTACATCCAGAAATTATCTGTATCATTAAATCCTTATGCACTATATATTTTCTATTTACTCTCAGCCTCCTCATTGTCTTCTCTGTCTCTCTTTTTACCTCAGATGAGGAATTTGAACCATTTTTAAAAAACTGGGAGCTTCATTTTAGGAATTAATAACGTAATTCCACCATGTTAACTACTGCTAATTGTTGCTCATTTTATGTTCCTATTTGGCACTGAATTTGAACACAAATGAAAAAGATATTTCAAGTCCATGTAGTCTACATTTGTTGAAAATGAAAAACAAAATCAAAACTCACAAATTCTGTGTGGATCAGATTTATATCTGAACACAATGCAGCATTCTTGTCTGCACAATTATGAGTAAATATTATGAGAAAAGAGGTCCAGGTATATATGCTAACTGCTTTCAGTATCATATTTAGAATCATGTATGTTCATGGTAAATGTAAGATGCCGATGAGAAAAATCACTTGTTTTGGTTTGTATGTCCCAGTCATATAAAAAGGAAATACTGTGCTGGTTTACCTTCATTCTTATTGATTTTAATCATAGCCTGACCTGCATAAATTACATCTTGCTACACCATTATGTAATCAAGTTATTTTTTATCAGGAAGCACTCATACTTCAACTCAGGAAATCAGAAATATTTTAGAGCAAACTTTAGTCCTTATAATTGTATAAAGAAGATCAATCAACGTCTTTATGTTATTTGGGAAACAGTATTTGTTAAAAATTACTTGAATGGATCTATAGCATGTGCAGTCATGAGCTCATGTTCATTTGATCCAGCCAGGTCAGGGCATTTAACAAGTGCTGCACCTCTGTCTTCCGATTCCTTCTGCTCCTGTAGCAGGAAAAGCATTGTACTGGATTTTGACTGTGTTCCTTTCCTTCATAAACGTTTTTTTTTTAAAGACTAAAGTTTTTCTTTTACCTACTTATTCTTTGGTTTCTGGGCTTTTTTAACCTTGGCTTCTGATCAATTTCATGGTTAAGAAGGCTAACCCAACCTAAGTCCCCTGGCTTGAAGTTATCCCCATTTCACCAACACACTGGCACAGTGGGCACAGACAGATGTGACAATTTTTGCCTGATCCAGCCTCAGAAAGTGGTCTAAAGCCATGACCAAACACAAGTGTAGGACTGCAGACCACTTTAAAAGGGCCCAATCCCATGGCAATCTGAGCCCTCATTGAATTCAGATGAAGGCTCTCAAAAACAGAGCTCCTTCATTCATTTCTGTCTGCGTGCTGGGAGAAGGGCTTGGCTGACATAGCCTAGCTGTGCTCTCCATGCTGTTTTCAGAATGGGGGGGTGGGGCGGGAAGGGATAGAGGGAGCTTGTTCTGGGGGTTGCCCAATCAGTGCTGCAAGATGAGGTGGGTAAATTGGAGACCTCTCAGTGTGGGGGGCTCCAATCCACCTGCCCCCCACTCCAGTGTGGCTGGTGAACTCCCAGAACAAACTCCCTCCCCTGCCTACTCCCCGCTCACATTCAGACCGCTCACATCCGGACACTGCACTGGAGCTGCAAGAGGAGAGGCAGAGCTAGGGAAGAGATGCTGCAGAGATGCAGCCTCTCTCCCTGGATTGGCTCCAAGTTGGAGCTGATCCTCCACCCTTCCGACCCAACAGCTGATGTTGCCTCGGGAGGATTGATCCAACTCACGGCACTTTCTGCGAAGTGTCATGAGTTAGACTGGGGAGCTGCACTTCTGTCTGCACCCACTATCTATTCAGCCTCAGGTAAGTTCTCATTCTTCAGTTTATTTGCTAGCTGCAAGCAGTGGGACTACTCCCAAAACTGCCTTCAGCTTTGTTCTTTGAGGCAGTGATGAAGTTTTCATCTGATGACCAGCTGAGGACACTGAATCCAGCCTTTCTTGTTTCCCTGAGATGGAAATGAAGAGGAGAATATATGTTCTGTGCCTCCATCAACCTTCCCATGCCATTGGACTTTGCTTATCAACTGGCATGAATTCTTCAGCTTCATAGTTGTGTTTCCCCAAGAACTGGGATTGGAGACAAGGAAGGATTGGTGCATCAAACATCAACTCAGCATCAACATGAAGCAGATCTAAGTCCTTGCACAACTGATTAAAAATGCTGGTGAAAACTAAGCAAGAATCTCAGGATTTAGAATATACAAATGTTATCAGTTTAAAGTTATAGTCAGGTTCATAACACAGGCTGTTGACCAGTGTTTTAAACCAATCATTGCCAAATACAAGGACTAATCTCAGAGACAAGCAAATAAGTGACAAAATCTTGGAAACTGTAACACTAGTGATACTGTTTTTATAATAATTTTTAGAAAATTGCTCAGAACAAGGAGCCAGTAGAAAGGACAGCTGATGAATTGTGAGTTCCCTCATTTGAAAGACAGTATGAGGACATTTCCTGCTTCATTTCCATGGTTATCATTTACAACAGGGGAAGGCAGTTATTTTGGCTGGAGGGCTGCTCAACAAGTTTTGGTGAGCTGTCGAGAGACCCAATGGTAATCCCACCTCCTGGTTGCCACCTTGGGACCTGCAGTCTTGCCCCTAACCTCTGAACCTAGGCTACCAGAAGTCCCTCTCCTTGCCCCAGAAGTACTCCTTGAAACTGGAAAAAACCCCCCAAATCATATACTAAAAAAAAATCAAACCTCTACTATAATTAATTTTCATTTTTTTTTAATTTGTACTGATTTATGTGTGTTTGCGTAGTGTATCTAGAGGCAATTGCATAATAACTCAAAATATACTCTTACTCTTGTATATTGTGTGTGGGGTGCTAAGGCGGTATATGTGGGGGTGTATGTGGGGTGTCGGTATGGTGAGTGTGGTGTGTGGGAGAGGGTAAAGGGATGGGTGTGGAGGGGTATGGGTGTGGGGTATTTGGTTGGGATGGGGGTGTGTGGGAGGGTGTGGGTGTGGATATGGTAGGGATGGGAGGTTGGGAGTGTTTGTGGGGGCTGTGGGGAGGGTGTGGGTGTGTTTGGAGGTATGGTGGGAGTGAGGTGTTTGGGAAGGTGTTGGTGTGTGTGTGGATATGGTGGGAGTGTGGGAGTGTGTGTAGGGTTGTGATGGGGGTATGTAGGACTGTGTGTGGGCTTTGGTAGGGTGTGGGGTTATGGTGTGGAGGTGTGTGGGGTCTGTGGTAGGGTGTGGGTGTGTGTTGTGGGGGTATGGTGGGAGGTGGGGATCCAGCCCTGCCCGTCCTGTCTTGGCTGCAGTGTGCAGTTCCCGGCTGCAAGGCTGGGACCCAGATGGTGTGGCATGGGGCCAGCCTGGCCTGGTCCAGCACAACGCATTTCCATCTGCAAAGCTGGGGACTGCATCGTATGGCATGGAACAAGCCTGGCCCAGCCTATTCTGTCTCTGGCATGTGGTTCCCGGCTGCAAGACTGGGACCCATGTGGCATGGCATGGAGCCAGCCTTGCCCAGCCCAGTCCATTTCTTCCATGCCATGCTGCATGGGTCCTGGCCTTGTAGCGGGGAACCACAAGCTGCAGTCAGGATGGGCCGGGCCGGGCCAGGCTGGCTCCATGCTGCACTGTGTGGGTCCCAGCCTTGAAGCTGGCTACCACATGGTGCAGCAGGGTACCAGCCCAGCTCAGCCCATTCCGGCAGCATACAGTTCCCCGCTGCAAGGCTGGGACCCAGATCCACACAGCACGGCCCAGAGGGGACAGGCCAGGCCGGTCTGGTCCCATGTCATGCCATGAGGTCCCTGACCTTGCAGCTGGAACCGCATTGTGCTGGGCTGGGCTGAGCTGTGTGCTGGCTGGGGCCGGTGAGATTATTCTGCTTCCTTTGCCTCCAGCTGCAGCTGCTACTACTGCTGTTCCTGCCCCTGCTGCACTGCATTGCTGTGGGTGGGAGTGTGGGAAGCTTCAGTGGGAAGCTCCTGGCCAGCACATGTAGCTCTGGCTCCAGCTCCCGGTTGCCTTCCACCTGCTCCACCCACCCAGTTCTTAGAAACTCCTGCCTGTAAATCCTGATGAAGGTGGGTAGTCTGGTTGTACCACTTGAATTCAATAAATTGGCAGGTAGAGTTTGCTCAAATATAGCATCATGTAGTTTCAAACATTTTTTTTTAAGTTTGTGTTGCTATCAGAACAGAGAGCTTAATGAGGCCCAGAGTTATTTTTAGCATTTTTGAGTATTATCAGTGTTAAATTTCTTGACTGAAGAAATGCCTCTGCAAAATCTGAAATTCTACTGACCTTGAGGAAACTAATTAAAGAAGCAGTACAAAGAATCCATTGGAGCTATTTCAGGCAATAAAACAGAAAGAAAGTAAAGAACTAACAATATATCAATAAAAAGTCTGATTTAATTGTCATTGAAAGTGTGCATTTTGTTTCTTTTTTATAAAAGCCATACTTCTTATCATTGTTGACATCTTAAAAATGAACAGGGGAATAGGAACATTTTGATACTCTACCTTTTTTATGATTCTGGAAACCACCCGCATATAAAGAAGAAAAACTATAACATAGCAATAACTAACTACACCTCTTCAGTAACCTTTTGGAAATAGGGGAATGTGAGTCACAGCTAAATGGAAATCTGTATTTCATATCATCTTAGCTAAGTATCAAACATTTAAAACCTGCCACCTCATTTCTGTGTTGGAGGACCTCTAAAATGGTATGGAATTGGATCAGTCAATGTTTCTTTGTCCTTTATTATATAGTAAAATAAGGCAGCTTCCAGTTTTTGCATTTTAGGGGCATGAGTTTTTGACAAGTTTTCCTCTGGCAGACCTGACTCACCACTCATATATAGACAAGCAAAGGGGCCCTGACCTCTCCAACCTATTTTCCCAAGGTTCCATAACTATAGCATGAGTTCTAATTCTTATATTAATGTTGCTGAT